TAGATGCCTGGAAGAAAGTAGTGCTGAGAACAATGTAGTTCCAGAGGGAAATAAGGACTTAAGCAGCAATTGGGATATTTTGGCAAAGAGTATGACTGAAGTCTGCCCACAGCCAAAAAGCTTACCTGAGGCTAAATTGAAAAGCCATGGACTAATTTCTCTAGCAGAACAACATAACATAGAAATGGTGGCATGGCTGTTAATGGTGAATATTATACTCATTTACAATAAAAAAGAGAAAATGGGGCAGAAAGAAATACAGAACATACAGGATGGATTGAAAAAGAGCACTAGGAAGATTAATGGAGGCTTGGCATGTGATGGAGAAGATCCCCTGGATAAGGAGATTAAAGTGATTAGCAAGATTAAAGTGATTAAGGAGGGGCCAAGAGATTAGGACTTAAACAATGGAGAGAGTGCCTCCAGGGCAAGACCATACCCAGTTAAGCCTCCATCTTGTGAAAGGAAAATGCTGCAGGGTCCACTGAAGAGAAAAGCTTCTAAAATGGATAAAGCAGGGTGGAGTCCATCCCAAACTTACAGTCAAACTTAGCATTGTCGTTCACATGGTGGTGGCTTTAGAGGCATGAAAGATTCAAGAGTGAAGGGGTCATCATTTCTTCCTCCGAGGTTTCAGAGAGCCTCGGAGGCCAGGGAGTGTGCAGCAGGGGTTCTCCTGCCTAGAGAAGGCCCTGATAGACCATTGTGTGAAGCTGTGAAGGTGAAGCCTGGTTGGCAGTGGAGACCCCAAGAAGTTCGTGATGCCAGAGCTGTGAGGCATCTGCCAAGAAGACCTGCATATGGGGAGTGGCACCAGCACAGGAGAGAGATGTGTGTTGCACACAGCAAAGCTGGAGAGGCTGAGCCATCTAAGCCTTTTGGAAGTAAAGCCCCAGAAGTTGGATGTGGAGCTATTGGTTCCACTGTATGTTGGGAGTATGTAATTTGTCTTTTGGTTTTATAGAGGCTTACAGTTAAGATATTTACCTGAGTCTCAGAATAGACCTTGGACTGTGGACTTTAGAATAGTATTGAGACTGATAATGACTATGGGGACTTTTAAAGTTGGATTAAATGCATTTTGCATTTTATATGTTCATGATCCTATGGGGGCCAGGGGGTGGAATGTGGTGGTTTGAAGGAAAATGTCTGCCATAGGCTCCAAGTGTTTGGACATTTTGTCCCCAGATGATGGAGCGGTTTTGGGAGGTTTTAGAAGGTGTGGCTATCCTGGAGGAAGCATGTCACTTGGGGTGGGCTTAGAGAGTTCTTAAGCTTTGCCAGATCTCCAGTTGTTCTCTTGCTTCCTGTGCCTGATGATGTGAGAGCTTAGCTTCTGCTGCTCCTGCTCCAGCCACCTCCAGGCACCATGCCTCCCTGCCATGACGGACTGTAATTCCCCTGGAACCGTAAGCTCAAATAAACTCTTCCTTCAACAAATTGCTTGGGTCAGTATTTCTATCACTGCCACAGAAAAGTGACTAATACACCATCCCAGCTTATAGTCAAATTGCTGAAATGACTACTGGACCACTCACTTCAATTTAAAATTAAGTACAAGTCATATTAAGAGATGACAGTAGGGGCTGGAGAAATGGCTCAGCATTTAAGAGCACTGGCTGCTCTTACCAAGGACCCAGATTCCATTCCCAGCGCCCACATGATGGCTAACAATTGTATCTCCAGTTCCAGGAGAATCTGATACCCTTTTCTGACCTCTGCAGGCATTGCACCACAAAGGTGCAGCTATATTCGTGCAGGCAATGCATTTATACACATAAGATATAAATAAATAATTTTTTTAAAAAAGATGCCAGTATAAGTGGTTCCGAGATCCATTTCCTAATAGCACTGGAGAGATTGAAAAGGAGTTCACCACGTGCTCAGCAAGCCAAGGGATTACATTTGTATTTAGAAAGAGGCTTCTGTTGTGCTTGGCTTTGTATATGTTTCTTTATACCATGCTCTTGGGCAGACAATTCTGAGTCTTACCCACTTGGAGTTGGAGCATGCCTAGGGCAAGGCATTTCATATAAACTATATGGAAAAGAAGTAACTGGAACTCTAGAGATGGGGCTACAAACTGTAACACAGCAGATCCCATTTGGAGTGTGGATGGGGGGCGGGGTGTGTGTGTGTGTGTGTGTGTGTTTGTGTGTGTGTATAAGTATATCTCTAAGAGTGTCTGTATGTATCTGTGTGTATCTGTGTATATGCATGCTTATGTATATGTATATGTCTATGTCTCTGTTTATGTTAGGAGGAAGCAGAAGATTGTAACTTGAAATTTTTAATTTAGGCCAAATACACTGTTCTTCAAATTTATATTACCTCCCCGACTCCATTTTACCAATATTTCACCTACTTACAATAACTAATGCCATGCTCCACAAAGCAGCTTGGTTTGCATTGGTGCTGTTTAATATAGTTTCTTTGAATTCTGCATCTACATGCAAGAATTTATCAAAATGATTTATCTACGTCATGTACATGCAACCTGACTTACTAGAATGAGCTTGTGCAAGTACAACCAGTTTTCTGAAAAAAATTAAGTTCTCTTTCATATGTCTGGCAGATATTACAAATATTAACTCATTTAATGTTCCTAGAAACTCAGGGAAGCTGGCGTTATCATCATGTCTATATTGTAAGTAAACTGACAAGGGAAGTGAGCCCCAGAGAGTAATGAACCTCAGAGAGATGGACTAGCCTGTCTGAAAGCTAATCAGATAACAGCCTGCATTCCCACTTGGGCAGTGGGACCAGAGAGGAAATCTTAGGTTATGCTTTGTTGCCTTGTAACACAGTGGCTCAAAGCAAAGAGTTGTCTAGAGTATCACAGTGAATCAGAGGTGACCGCAGCAAGAATTCCTAAACAGAGGAGCTGATTCCTCATCCTCTAGTCTTCTGAGAATGGAATCTGCAGACCAAATCACCTGTGTATAGAGTCAGGTGGAAAGAGGCCGAGTATGTGGACAAAACAACATGACGGTAATATCCATTCTAAAGTCAAAGAAGGTGCTGATTCGGAGAAAGGTCCTAAGGCAGAATCAGCTCTGCGAGCTATGGTTGTCAACTCTTAGCCTGTTCTGAGCTGCTGGGTTTTTCAAGATCATGTGAATCCAGGTCCTTTTTCCTATAGCAAAGCAAGATTCCTGAATTGTAATACTCGCTCTCAGGCTTTGTTAACATGCTGTCATTAAGGATGACAGATGCTCTTAGAAACATTCTAAATGCTCTTGATTTAGAATTGCAGCATCTTTTCCCTGGACAAGTCACTAATGCACCTAGAGTTACCGTACCCCTCTTTGCAAACCAGAGATAA